GAGGTTGCGTCGCAGATCCGTCGCTGGAGCTTGCGTCGCAGATCCGTCGCTAGAGGTTGCGTCGCAGATCCGTCGCTGGAGCTTGCGTCGCAGATCCGTCGCTAGAGGTTGCGTCACAGATCCGTTGCAGATCCGTCACAAAATACTTCCCTCACTGGTTCGTCGCTGAAAGTATCCCTCGCAAATCCGTTGCTGATATCCGTCGCTGATCCGTCGCTGATAGCATTACCTACGATTATTTGACCGACGAAGTATCAGCGACGGATCAACGACGGATTGCCTTTTCAGCGACGGATTTGCGAGAGATTTTTCCCTCGCTGATACTCTGCATTTTTGTAGTGTAAGTTGTTAATTTTGGCAAATGTCTAAAATATTTTTTAACGTCAAGTTGATTTCTATGTTGTCCCGGTATGTTTACCGGAGGTTTTGTTAACTTTGTGCATAACATCACAATGACATTGCAGTACAACTTTAAATGGTCTTCACGTGAGTCACTTTTGCTCACTACCTCAAAATGCCACTTAGGCAACAAATGAAAAATGTTGCCTAAGAGGGATTTACATGTTGCGTAAGGTATCAACTGAGACAACATAATCCATCTGCATATGTTGCCTTGTATATCAGCGTAGACAACATACTCTATCTGAATATGTTGCCTTAGATATCAACTTAGACAACATACTCTATGTAGATATGTTGACTTTGAGCTGAAATTAAAATAATATAATATTTCTTTTAGGTGACATTTATATTGTTTAATTGTTGCCTAAGATTTTTGTGTACCATGATGCAGTTTTTTTCTTGCACACTGATGGGCCCGTGAAACCACAGACACAAACAACAATCAGGACTAAAAGCAAGTATACAAATAGTCCCAATATCGTCTTTCAAGTAATAAAAGTGGTACAAGTACCGGATATCGTCCACAGGGATCGTAGTAAAAGTTTAAAAGAAAGTAAGGTTAAGGAAATGATTTCAGAAGGCGATTTCGAAGACTTTAATTAGAACAGAGGTAATACAACTAAAAACAGGAGATAACAGTTAATAAAGCAAGCTAGGGTGTATGACTTTCAGGGTGAGATGTGAAAATTACTTTTAGTCGACCAATGCTGTCAAAATGCTACAGCATGAAACCATGCTGACAGATTGCTACA